GATGTTAAAGGGGTCATATGATGCGATTTCAATTGTTCCTTTCTCTTTGGAGTGTTACAAGCTCTTGGTGCATAAAGAAGATCTGTAAAGTTGCAAAGACTAAAGTCTCAAATCCATTCTTTATAAAAGTTAAGAGTCAGCCACGCCTACCTAAAACGGCTCGTTCTAACACGCCCCCACATATCTACATCACTATGTGGGAAGATTTGCATAACGCCGCCCAAATGTTCACGCAAAGAAAGAAGGCGTAACTTTTATTCTCGCTGTAGTATTGTTGTTGCCGCCGCCATGTCACTGTGTGATTCGTTGTGAAAGCGAAGCTACTTTGTTTGGTCTTCCAGGATCGCCGGATCGGCTTTCACCGTGGACGAAGCCCACCGGACGCTCCTTCATCGAATCTGCCGGCCGCGCCTTTCTGAAGCCCGCCGTGTGTGACGCTGTGTGACGCATTTTATGGAGGACTGTTTCCTGAACCTGCAGAGTAGCATACAATGGGTCTGTGCTCAAAGGCTGTTCTATAAAGTGGGGCAGTTCCAACTTTGCAAGGACAGTCTGGTGCTTCTGACTCACGGCCTGTAAGTTTTAAAGAATTTGCCACTGATGATTCAAACACAAGTAGCGCTTGTTGTTTGTCATTTCTCCGATCACAAATGCAGACATGGTTTTATGTTTACTCGTCGCTCCGGCCGAACAGGGCATCACAGTATGGTGAGGGGCGTAACATTTCCCTCTCACGCTTGAGGTATTCGGCCAATCACAACGCACTGGATAGCTGGCCAATCACAGCACACCTCGCTTTTCAGAACGATGAGCTTTGTAAAAATCGACGCGTTTCAGAAAGGCGGGGCATAGAGGAGAAACAATAATGTACAGTATGTGGAAAATAATGTGTTTTGAACCTTAAACCACATAAACACATTTCATTACACCAAATACACCAAATAATGTTCTTTTTAGCAACACCATATGACCCCTTTAATCTGACATCGTGATTCCCCCCCCCAATCCGCCGCATCCCAGTTCTGCGTTCAGAAAGGAAATGAAGTGTACTACGGAAACCCTAAAGGGAATAAATAGCCTACGAGATAGGAGGATAAAAAAACATATTTCAATACTTTTTCTCGCTATTATATCGTTGGGTAAGTATAAGCGACTGTATATAAATTGCGGGCATCAGGGAGCCGATATTGAAACCGCTTTCGATTGCGCTCTCATTTTACTCTCACTTTCACTTTCGAGATTCGCCATCACAGGGACTCTATACTATGGAGCAGCAGGACTTACCACACATTTGACCAGATTAGATGTTTGTCATTGGTGCTCAGGATCTGCTAATCATTCACCATCATCCTATCAGACATTTCTCCTTACTCTGTGTATGTGGCAAGTGAACTTTCATGCACTGTAATGTAACAGCTACCTCTAGCAAGCGGCTAACCTTTTAGTGGCTCCATATAACGCCTTATTTGTTTCACGCTCCGGGCACTAATATCCTAATGATTTTTGGCATAAAAGAAAAATTTATAATTCTGACCCACACAATATATAATTACATATAATTTTGACCCTCCATATGCCATTATGATTTACAGTAAATGTAACGCATATGAGAAAAAACAAAAAATATTTTTTCAATATATTTCAAAATATACAAAAATGGCCAAGAAATATTTTTCAAAATATATTTACATATATAAAAATATATTTTTATATAAGTTCTTTCTAAAAAAATCATTTACAATTTATTTTCGAAAGCATTACAAAATTATTTTGCCCTCCATATATTTCAAATGATTTTGCCTTCCATACATTTAAATTTAAAAAATACATTCAAATGTTACATTTGAAGAACATTTTTATATTATATATAACGTGTGAAAATTTCAGTTTCATTTAAAATAAGCAAAGAATATAGATTACAATGATCCAAAAAAATGCAATATATGTAAAACATTAAACATTATTAATTAATTGTATAAAATATGTAAATAAATACATTATATAAAAAGATCAAATATATTTTTAAAAATGAAACATTATTGAAGGTAGGCTACTGTAAGATTGGAAATGTGTTTTCTTTCCCCTGAAATACAGTGAAATATATTTTGGTTGATCTTCACTGTTTACAGAATATTTAACATATATTTGAATCATATTTTGGCCAGACAAAAAGTATATTTCTTTTCGTGTGGGAGAGACGTCTGCGTGTCTGAATTGAAGTAGGATCTTTTCTCTTCATTAACATCACGAAACTGACACTGCAAAAAACAAACAAATGCTCTTTGTTTTTCAACCCCATTGTCAAGAAAAAGACTTATTTTTTGCACTTAACACTTTACCATAACGTCTCATTAAAGTAAATGCAGTAACTAACAATAAGCAAGATATTGTTACAGTATTTAATATTTGTTAATGTTAAAAAATACACCTGTTGCTTGTTAGTCTGTATTAGCTCTGATACATTAAATAATATTAACAGATAAAACTTATTTTAATGATGAAATAGTAAATGTTGAAATGAACGAAGATTTTAATGATCCATGTTAATTAATGTAGTTCATTAATGAATTACTGGAAGCTTTTTGTGAAGTGTTATCAATGTTTTGCTTGTTAATGATTTGTGCATATTTTATTGTTTTATTTTTCTTACAAAGCATCAAGCAATAGATCAAATAACTCAAGTGATGAAACGTGCATCTTTTCTGTAAGTGACTTCATACAATAATAAAACTAATTTTGAACAAACGTGTTATGCTTATTTTTTCAGTGATTAAGTTAACGATTTTCCACTCGTTAATGTCTGATATCCACTTTATTGAAAGATTATAATCTGTCTTCCCAGCAAAGCAATGCATTTCCTCACAACCTGTATGCCAAAAAATATTTTCATATTTCAAAACATACAAAAATTGTCAACAAATATTGCTAATATGCATTTAAAAAATATATTTCAATATATTTTGATATGGTTTAGGTACTTATATTTATATAGCTATATTGAAATTATTTGTAAATGGTCCCAAAATATGAGGAAATATATCAAAATACATTTTGTAGCTACTCAATATTTATTTTAAGTTTGGAGATATATAAACTTTCTCCAAGTACATGTCTTGCATTTAAAGTTTTATATATTTTTTTCATATCTTTGAAAATATATACAGTATATATGCATGTAATTTTATTTATTGATACAATTTCTTTCACATATATCTGTTTACACTGTACACATTTAATGAATTTCCTACAATACCAGTCAAGATTTTAAGGTTGGAAATTTATAATTATTAAATATTCTAAATTCCTCATTCATGTGATATTGCTAAGATTTTGTCTAATATGACTGGTGTCTTGAGTAAGAGGGTCTTTATGAGCCACTGATCATTATTATTATTAACAGTTCTTACTACAGAATAAAATTACGTTACAGTTTTAAAATAGAAACAGACCACCATCTATTATCACACTAAACCATTTTTTTTAAATATGCAAATATAACAAAATAATGAAAGATCAAATATATTTTTAAAAATGAAACATTATTGACGGTAGGCTACTGTAAGATTGGAAATGTGTTTTCTTTCCCCTGAAATACAGTGAAATATATTTTGGTTGATCTTCACTGTTTACAGAATATTTAACATATATTTGAATCATATTTTGGCCAGACAAAAAGTATATTTCTTTTCGTGTGGGAGAGACGTCTGCGTGTCTGAATTGAAGTAGGATCTTTTCTCTTCATTAACATCACGAAACTGACACTGCAAAAAACAAACAAATGCTCTTTGTTTTTCAACCCCATTGTCAAGAAAAAGACTTATTTTTTTTGCACTTAACACTTTACCATAACGTCTCATTAAAGTAAATGCAGTAACTAACAATAAGCAAGATATTGTTACAGTATTTAATATTTGTTAATGTTAAAAAATACACCTGTTGCTTGTTAGTCTGTATTAGCTCTGATACATTAAATAATATTAACAGATAAAACTTATTTTAATGATGAAATAGTAAATGTTGAAATGAACGAAGATTTTAATGATCCATGTTAATTAATGTAGTTCATTAATGAATTACTGGAAGCTTTTTGTGAAGTGTTATCAATGTTTTGCTTGTTAATGATTTGTGCATATTTTATTGTTTTATTTTTCTTACAAAGCATCAAGCAATAGATCAAATAACTCAAGTGATGAAACGTGCATCTTTTCTGTAAGTGACTTCATACAATAATAAAACTAATTTTGAACAAACGTGTTATGCTTATTTTTTCAGTGATTAAGTTAACGATTTTCCACTCGTTAATGTCTGATATCCACTTTATTGAAAGATTATAATCTGTCTTCCCAGCAAAGCAATGCATTTCCTCACAACCTGTATGCCAAAAAATATTTTCATATTTCAAAACATACAAATGCTAATATGCATTTAAAAAATATATTTCGATATATTTTGATATGGTTTAGGTACTTATATTTATATAGCTATATTGAAATTATTTGTAAATGGTCCCAAAATATGAGGAAATATATCAAAATACATTTTGTAGCTACTCAATATTTATTTTAAGTTTGGAGATATATAAACTTTCTCCAAGTACATGTCTTGCATTTAAAGTTTTATATATTTTTTTCATATCTTTGAAAATATATACAGTATATATGCATGTAATTTTATTTATTGATACAATTTCTTTCACATATATCTGTTTACACTGTACACATTTAATGAATTTCCTACAATACCAGTCAAGATTTTAAGGTTGGAAATTTATAATTATTAAATATTCTAAATTCCTCATTCATGTGATATTGCTAAGATTTTGTCTAATATGACTGGTGTCTTGAGTAAGAGGGTCTTTATGAGCCACTGATCATTATTATTATTAACAGTTCTTACTACAGAATAAAATTACGTTACAGTTTTAAAATAGAAACAGACCACCATCTATTATCACACTAAACCATTTTTTTTAAATATGCAAATATAACAAAATAATCAATGCAAAATGCCAGGAGAACAGGAGTAAAATGTCGAACATGGAAACTCTTTATTATGAAAGATACACAGAACCAAAGGGCAAAAGATTGGCAGAGCAGCTCTCTGAACAGCGCACAGACACACACGAGGCAGAACTGCTGGAGGATCAAAGACTGGATCTCAGAGCGGCATGCGGTTCCCCTCCACGCTGATCTTCACCGCGTGCCCCGTCTTCGTCAAGCGCTTGATATCTGCGAAACGCCGCATCTGTTTATCTACTCGCGTCAAACCCTTCTTCAGTGGAGCCTGAGAGACAGAGAGGGAGAGATTCGAAATTAAGTGACAAAAACAACTTTAACAGAAACAGGAACTTCAAGCAAAATCAACTGAAAAATGTTTTTTTAAGTTTAAGTTTTTTTTTTTATTGTGAACATACGACAAAAAAAAAGTATGAGAAAAAATGAAAAACAAATGCAAAATCAATTATAAAAATACTTTTAAAAAGGGAAAAACTTTATATTAAAAACCAAAAACAAGGCAAAATATATTAAAAAAAAAAACAACAAAAAAACTGAAAACTACTTTAAACGAAGCAAATTCAAAAAAATTGCTACCAAGAAAATTTTTAGAAATACACACTGGAAACTACTGAAAGCTAAACCAAGTCAAATAAAAATATGCACTTATAAAATAAACTTTACTCCAATAAACCCAAAACAACTCAATAAAAAAAATAACTACTAAAAGTTAGAAAAAATCAACTGAAAACACATCTTTTTAAAAGGATACTACTACAACCAAAAACTAGACAATTTTATAGATTTACATAAAAGACAAAAGGAAACTACTAAAAGCAGAAAGCAAATTAAAGAATCGTTCATGAACACGAGCAAAATCAAGTAACAAAATGCATTAAAAAGGGGAAACTACTACAATCATAAAAAAAATTAAATACTAAACAAAAAACACAAACAAACTAAAAAATATCAAGTCAAAATGTGCATTTGAAAAAAATAGAAACTACAAACAAGCCAATTAAACCAAAAAGCAAATGAACTAATATAAGCAAAAAGAAAAATGACTACATCTACAATCCAACCCAAGCCCGTTCTTGTGAGTGCTGCACCAAAACACACCGCTGCTACTACACCATCTTCTTGAGCATGATTGCATTTTGATTTTATTATTGGTTTGTCTCAGTAGCTGTTATATATATATATATATATTCAGCAGGAGCATGTCAAGAACACAGGCCTGAAGCGCTGGAGTTTAGTGGATGGTCATGTGACCGTCACAGGAACTCAAATGCTCTCATACACACACACACACACACACCACGTTGCTCTGTAGTTGTGGTGAAATCATCCAAACCCACTTTAACTGCTGTTAGTTGGGCTTTGTGCACGGTCATGCAGACACTTACTGCCCCCTCAGGCAGGAGCGTGTAACTACAGCGGCATTCGGTTTCCCTCGATGCTGATTTTCATGGCTCCCTGCGGCCGCCGCTGCTTCCTCTGCTCCGCAAAACGCCGCTTGTGTTTCTCCAGCAGGCTGACGCCCTTCCTACAGCTCCTCTACCAATCACACAACAGTAAAATCTCCTCCACCAATCAGCTTACGAGGAGAAAAACCTAAGCATCATTGTTTCTCTCGATCCTGCCTCACGCTTCCTGTGCAGACTCCTCCCACTCTTTAGTGGAGTCAATCATTCCTCTCGAGTTAAGCCCCGCCCACACACATGCCCCGCCCACTCACTCTGTTTGAGTCCACATCCACGTTCCACTTGGGTCGAACCACGTAATCCTTATTGGAGGGCATGGGCACACGAGCTCGAGCACAGAAGCCCGGGTCACCCGGCCGCAACGCCCTGACACACACAGAGAGAGAAATATCAGATCATATAATCCAAACCAAACATGTGCGTGTCACGGTTTGCATTGCTTTAAAACTATTTTTTTTTAAAGGAAATTATAATGAATTACACAATTTATATAATGCATTTTAAAATTATAATATAATAGATTTCCATACAATAATAAAATATTAAGTGATCATTTTCATTAATTAGCATTCATAAAAATATTACACAAATTATATAATGCATCTTTAAGTTATAATATAATAAACATTTCATAGTAATAAATAATAAAATATTACAATAAAATAATAGATTATAGAATATTAAAATATATATATATATATAATTATAATTCATAAATCCCATTTTTAAATAATAAATTATACTATTATAATACATGTTTTATAATAATTAAAAAAATTGTATTCATAATATATTAAAATATTAAATTATAATCATTAGGATTAACAAAAATGTTTATAAAATACAGTAATATAAACATTATAGAATACATTTTTTAATGATAATAAGAATGTTTTATGATAAAATATTACATTATAATCAAATTATAATACAAAATTATAATGAATTAATACAAAATAAATTATACAATATTTGTAACTAAATTAATTATAACAAAATAATTGATATTAAATTATGATCACTTTCATCAATAAGCATTCATAAAAATATTAAAGAATTCTAATACATTTTAAAATTACAAAAATAAATGCATTTAATTATAATAAAATAGTAAATTATAATTAATAACAAATGATATACTACATATTTAAATGTTAATAAAATGAAAATGGCAGAAGTTCATTGAAATGTATAACATTAAGCACATTTATATAACAAATCGGCTAAATTGTAGGGTATTTACAGTCAATTAAAAAACCATTAAAACAGGCTTTATGATCTACTTCTGCAGACATGTCTTGAGGCTGTGGAGTGAAATATGATGGAGATGTTCTTGACAGGTTTTGTGAGATTCACTGATGAAGAAACAGAACTGAGTGTGGTGTTGAGACTCACTTCTCCTCTCCGGTCAGCACTTTCTCCAGATCTCTGCGAGGAGTCTGTCCTCCGGAGCTGTGGGAGGAAGCAGACGGAGAATGAGCCAATCACACGCATCCGCTCGCGTCTCGAGTCTGTTCAGCACTCGCTCATCTGGTCCACATCGGCCGGGTTTGAATTAGTGTGGGTTTGGGTTTGATCGCATACACATGAATGCAAAACCGCAGCAAGCACACACACACACACACACACACACACACTCACACTCACACTCACAGACACAGACACAGACACAGACACAGACACAGACACAGACACAGACACACAGACACACAGACACACAGACACACAGACACACAGACACACAGACACACAGACACAGACACAGACACAGACACAGACACAGACACATACAAAGACACAGACTCAGACACTCAGACA